ACCATTTTGCACGTGTTGTATAGAGTTCCAACAATGTAGATATATGCTAGCTGACTGAATATACCATTTTGCACGTGTTGTATAGAGTTCCAACAATGTAGATATATGCTAGCTGACTGAATATACCATTTTGCACGTGTTGTATAGAGTTCCAACAATGTAGATAGATGCCAACTGACTGAATATATCATTTTGCACGTGTGTTGTATAGAGTTCCAACAATGTAGATATATGCCAACTGACTGAATATACCATTTTGCACGTGTGTTGTATAGAGCTCCAACAATGTAGATAGATGCTAACTGACTGAATATACCATTTTGCACGTGTTGTATAGAGTTTCAACAATGTAGATAGATGCCAACTGACTGAATATATCATTTTGCACGTGTGTTGTATAGAGTTCCAACAATGTACATAGATGCGAGCTGTCTGATTAGCCGCCTCCCCCCACCGTTGTACAACGCTAAGTCCGGAGGCTTATAACGCTAAAAACCGGAGTTTTCAAACCCGTCGTGAGCACAGCACAAATAGCCCATTGTGTAGCTTTGTGTTTAACTACAAACAAACAAAGAGACTGGTTATAATCTGAAGGATTGTCTGTATTTCATCGAAGACGTGAACTAGAACAATAGAAGTTGTTTTGTAGGACTTAGCTTCTTAAATACGGTGAAATTATTCCATTTTGTTAAAATACAAAAGCTTTGATCCCTTGTAATATAACTCTTGAGTCAACGTTCTCACACGCACGAGAATCTCTCGTAAATCACATACAGTAGTACACTGTAAGACGGAACTCTTGTATTTACGTAAAATACATAGAACAATACACTGTAAAACGGAATTCGGGTATTTACGTAAAACACATAGAATAATACACTGTAAGAAGGAATTCGTGTATTTACGTAAAATACATAGAATAATACACTGTAAGACGGAATTCGTGTATTTACGTAAAATACATAGAATAATACACTGTAAGACGGAATTCGTGTATTTACGTAAAATACATAGAACAATACACTGTAAGAAGGAATTCGTGTATTTACGTAAAACACATAGAATAATACAATGTAAGACGGAATTCGTGTATTTACGTAAAACACATAGAATAATACACTGTAAGAAGGAATTCGTGTATTTACGTAAAATACATAGAATAATACACTGTAAGACGGAACTCTTGTATTAACGTAAAATACATAGAATAATACACTGTAAGAAGGAATTCGTGTATTTACGTGAAACACATAGAATAATACACTGTTAAAAAGAATCTGTGTAGTTTAAATGACGTCGAGAGAAAATTATTGTTTACGTACATTTTTTTACACCTGATGCAATTAGAATTAAAACAAGCTGTTGTTGTTCTTCAAGAAAATATTTATCTCTGGCTAAAGATTGACTACAAATGTTCCTAGGTATTTTGAACGTGTCAAAGGTCAAGTGGTAAGAACCTGGTTGGGGATCTCATTCTTTATACTGAAAGTAATAAACCAAGGTCAAGTGGTAAGAACCTGGTTGGGGATCTCATTTTTATACTGAAAGTAATAAACCAAGGTCAAGTGGTAAGAACCTGGTTGGGGATCTCATTTTTATACTGAAAGCAATAAACCAAGGTCAAGTGGTAAGAACCTGGTTGGGGATCTCATTTTTATACTGAAAGCAATAAACCAAGGTCAAGTGGTAAGAACCTGGTTGGGGATCTCATTTTTATACTGAAAGTAATAAACCAATATAGAAAACAAAAAGTTGCACCAAAGGTTATGACCATGTCCAAGTCCATTCTAATTACAGTCCTGGCACGGAAAATCATATTAACATTTATATTAGTACTTAGTCTCAAGACGTTGTTGGCCAAACAAAGTTTGTGTTTGGACGTGCGAGTAATTTGTTTGTATTTGGACGTGCAAGTAATTTGTTTGTATCTGGACGTGCAAGTAATTTGTTTGTATTTGGATGTGTGAGTAATTTGTTTGTATTTGGACGTGTGAGTAATTTGTTTGTATCTAGACGTGTGAGTAATTTGTTTGTATTTGGACGTGCAAGTAATTTGTTTGTATTTAGACGTGTGAATAATTTGTTTGTATCTAGACGTGTGAGTAATTTGTTTGTATCTGGACGTGTGAGTAATTTGTTTGTATCTAGACGTGTGAGTAATTTGTTTGTATCTGGACGTGTGAGTAATTTGTTTGTATCTGGACGTGCAAGTAATTTGTTTGTATTTGGATGTGTGAGTAATTTGTTTGTATTTGGACGTGTGAGTAATTTGTTTGTATCTAGACGTGTGAGTAATTTGTTTGTATTTGGACGTGTGGGTAATTTTATTTTAATTTTAAATCCAAATATATAAATTGTCACAATAACTTTCAGTCTCTTTACTCCGAAACTCGCTTTTTCAAGTGATTCAGACTGTTTATTGGGACAATTATATGATGACAACTGCAGTTCAAAATAAACCGATTTCTTTGAATAGTATGTATCTTTATAGTGTATTTCTAAAATCATCCATTTTTCATCATAAATGTTTCTTCAAATGTTGCACACAACAGTAGTGAAAACATGGCCTAGAGATAGAAGTGTAGGGCTGCGTATCAGAAGACCCAAGGTTCGTGTCACGATGCTTCTGAACATGCTCCACACTAATAGAGGTAAGCGCGTCGTAAGAGTGACAGCGAATCTCCGTTATTCGGTTAAACGCTGGATAAAGCCCATGAGGCGGCGGGTACTGTTTACAAACTGCCCTCTCTTTAGTTCTAACTCAGGAACAACTATACCTATCCCATAAGGCGACGTTTATGTTCAAAATACGAATATCATCTTTGAAACACTTGGAAGAAGCAGAGTTATGTTTGACTTGAAACATATGTGTTGGCCAGCATCCTAAAATAAACATATATTATGATTACTGTAGAAATATGCTAAACGCCAGCCATCAGTTCATATATAAGACGTACCCACCTTTCCTGTACATAATCATAAACGTACTTATATCTGTTCCTACCTTTCTATGTACGGTATTTCTCAAATATCTTTGTGTTTGTTTCTAGTTTTCTCTGTACGATAATTTTAAACAACTTTGAAGAACTTCTAAAGACAAATATATTAACAGCATTCTTGGTACCTGTCTCTGGTTAAAATAATTCAATATCAAAAATGCTTCACTTAAGAAACTAGGCCTTGATTAACCAACGAAATTGTCAGTTTTGAACAATTCTCTAACATCGGTTTTGTGTATTATATTGTATGTTACAATGTTCTTTAGTAGCTATATAATCAGCAGCCGAGACACTAAAATAATAAAAAATATATTGGAGTTACGGATGCTAAGTATTTATTTTAAAAAAGTTTACTAGAAGATTTCGTGATCTTTGTAAAACCTCGTATTTTGAGGTTCTGATATAGAGAGATCAGTACTTTGATACAGCAGGCTTGTGTACCTTCTGTTTGGTTCTTTAAGCCTACTGCAAATGATTTGATGAAATTTGTGAATTTATGTCGTAGTACTAACGAACTTTAGATTGACCAATTTTTCATACAGTGTATACTTTTTTTAAACACACCTACCTCCTGTCCAACTGAGGAGAACAATTATTAAATTAATTTGATCAAAACCACGGCATTTCTATATTTTACAAGCAATCATTTAGTAGAATTAAAATTCCTATATACATTCCGTGTGTTTCTTTCTGTAGCGATGTAAAGAGAAACTTGACACCTTAACCGTGCTGGTAATGAACCAGTGGCCTGGGGTCAAATTGCGAGTTACTGAGGGCTGGGACGAAGAGCATTATCATGCAGTTGGTTCTCTCCACTACGAAGGTCGAGCAGTGGACATCACGACCAGTGACCGCGACAGATCCAAGTACGGCATGTTGGCTCGGCTGGCGGTTGAAGCAGGCTTCGACTGGGTCTACTATGAGTCACGCTCTCATATTCACTGCTCTGTAAAGTCAGGTGAGGCTATAAACTATTATAAGTTAACCTAAAGAAATGAAAACTGGGACCTGGGTAGGATTCGAATCCGTGATTCTGCTATGCTTAGGCCTACTAAAGTTACTGGGTAAAGTGAATGTCCCCACTTCTTTTGTTAACAAGACTATTAAGCTATCTTATGTGATTTTTCTATGTACCAAGTTACGTTTTTGAAATGTTTGTTCTCGTGTGTCACATCAATGACACGAAACCTGCTACTAGACTATTATCCTAAATTTAAGCAAGAAATTTACATGAAATTTTTATACTCAAACACTAAAACTGTTTTTGTTGTTTCTGGAATTTTTAGAAAGCATGCGGTTCAGTAATACTAGAAGTTAATTGTTAACATTAAAAAACGGAATGCCACTTTTGTCTAATGAGTATGTTCTAATAATAGCATATAATTTAATCATTGATAGGTTGTTTAGGCAGAGTATTCATAATGAATCTAAGTTTCAAATGGACAGCAACTGCCTGTTGTAGAAACCTACAGAAGACATTCGAAACGTCGTCCTCCACATTTGTAGGTTTCTACAACAGGCAGTTGCTGTCCATTTGAAACTTAGATTCAGCATATAATTTATCACAAGAGAGAACGTATAACTAATAAATGATAAAATAAAATAAAACTAACTGGAAACTGAAGTGTGGTGAAAACACAATAATGTTTTTTTTTCAAGTTGATTACATATTTAATACAGCTGTTTATGTACATCTGATTCTGTATTTAATACAGCTGTTTGTGTATATCTGATTATATATTTAATACAGCTGTTTGTGCATATCTGATTATACATTTAATACAGCTGTTTATGTACATCTGATTATACATTTAATATAGCTGTTTATGTACATCTGATTATGTATTTACTACAGCTGATTGTGTACATCTGATTATACATTTAATACAGCTGATTGTGTACATCTAATTATACATTTAATACAGCTGATTATGTACATCTAATTATGTATTTAATACAGTTGTTTATGTACATCTGATTATGTATTTAATACAGCTGATTGTGTACATCTGAAAGGGAAGCGAAAGACTGACATATTTTTAACACAACTGTAACAGGCGGGCAGAAAGGGAAGCGAAATACTGACATATTTTTAACACAACTGTAACAGGCGGGCAGAAAGGGAAGCGAAAGACTGACATATTTTTAACACAACTGTAACAGGCGGCAGAAAGGGAAGCGAAAGACTGACAGCTCATGTGTGTCTGTAAAAAATTAACATTAAAAAAGACTATAATTTTTTTTAATAATATAATGTCAAAGATCATATTAGCTAATAAACTTTATACAAAAAAATCGTATTTTTTCCCCGATTAATACTTTCAACAGCTACTAAAATATGTTGGGACGCGTCCCGTATCACTAAGCGCTTTTATTACCGTCGTATTTTATACAGATTACAAAACTGATTGGCCATTACCTACAGCTGTCTGCCCTTTGGCATGAAACTACCAAACGACTCCTGACGATAGGCATAGTAACTCATTGTAATCTCTCCTTTAATTATTAAATTCGCCGCTTGAACAGAAGATTATATATATAAAGAGTACAGGTGACCTTTAGAAATCAATAAAAAAAACATCTTTGATGAATCTTTTTTTTTATTATTCTTGTCCTTAATTATTTAAGGAAATGTAAAAGAAAAGTTTTACTTCAACGAATCTTGACGAATTGCTACAGGATATACGAACCCACTTTAATTATATAATTAAAGATATAATTATAGCTAAATGTTTTCAATGTCCCCCAGTAGTATCATTAGCATTGTTGAGAAGTTGTTAGTTAAAGGTCAACTTCGAACCATTCGACTTCATTAGAGACGCTCGATGTAACTACATCCAGAAATAATAAACTGACAGAATATTTGTGGTATTTTTGTCCTTGATTATTTTAGGGAATGTAAAAGAAAAGTGTTTACAGTGTCCCCCGAAGTAATATAATTATAGCTAACATGTCTACAGTGTCCCCTAAGTAATATAATTATAGCTAACCTGTGTACAATGTCTCCGCAAGTAATATAATTATAGCTAACCTCTCTACAGTGTCCCCCCAAGTAATATAATTATAGCTAACCTGTGTACAATGTCTCCGCAAGTAATATAATTATAGCTAACCTCTCTACAGTGTCCCCCAAAGTAATATAATTATACCTAACATGTCTACAATGTCCCCCAAGTAATATAATTATAGCTAACCTGTGTACAATGTTCCCGCAAGTAATATAATTATAACTAGCCTGTCTACAATGTCCCCCTAAGAATATCATTAGCAACGTATTCACTTCATTGAGAAGTTTTTAGTTTAAGAACTTCAACCCCCTCGATTCATTAGAGATGCTGGATGTCCAGAAATGGAAGTATGTATGTGTGTTATATCAATAGATTGTTTTAATCCTTCATTTGTTCGTCTACATCAGTGGTTCCTAACCTTTTTTTGCCCCATGCCCCACCTCGACACCTCATAAAATTTGATGCCCCCTTATTATAAAAACAAATTTGGTGTTAAAAAGGTATAATAATATAATGTAAAATTGTTCTTATTGTAGTATTTTCAAATTGCCCCCTGTGGGGCGTGCGCCCCGCGTTTAGAATCACTGGATTACATTATGGTCGTTGTTTTTTAACTAACAAGTTAACAGAATGAATGCCTTACGTGGGTAGAACTACCTTACGCTTCTTAACTAATAAGTCTTTAATCCAACAACCTCGGACTGGTTTCATGACGTAAGTCATTATTCAGAATTCATTAAAATCTGCAATATTCTTCTATTGAAAACTTGTTAAAGCTACATTTATATAGACTATAATGCTAAAAATCGGGTTTCGATACCTGCGTTAGGCAGAGCACATTTTGTAGCTTAGGGCTTAACATCAACTACAAAATAACGGCTGTATTATTTTTGCTTCACTGTAACTTGCTCAGTTGAACAAAACAGCAGGTCAATAGATGCATTTTTGTTTAATTGCTCCTTTAAATGATTCGAACCTAGAACATTACGTCAGTAAGTCCCATTGATCATAATCTCCCGATGGCTCAAACGTAAGTGAGTGGACTTATATCACTAAACATCCGGTTTTGATACCCGAGGCGAGAAAGGCACATTAGGTGGCTTATGCGTCATTCCGGTACTGGTTACAACAACAACTGTTCTAACTTCATATTAACTTTAGTAAGATCATTCCAACTGCACCATAACACGTTAATAATTTTGAGATTATTTTCTTCTACCGCCCGAGAGTTGGCGGTGGATAGCGTTGACTATTCTTCCCTCTAGTCTTTCAGGCCCGGTATGGCCAGATGGTTAGGACGCTTGACTCGCAATCTGATGGTCTCGGTTCGAATCCCCTGTTCCACCAAACATGTTCGCTTTTTCATCCGTAGAGGTGTTATAATATGACGGTCAATCCCACTATTCGTTGGTAAAAGAGTAGCCCAAAAGTTGGAGGTGGGCGATGATGACTAGCTGCCTTACCTCTAGTCTTTCACTGCTAAATTAGGGACGACTTCCTCAGATGGCCCTCGTGTAGATTTGCACGAAATTCAAAACAAACCAAACCTTCTACCGCTTGTTTGAAACGCTCATCCTTGACAAATATGCACAGCACGCTTTTTTGAAAAGGGGGGTCAAAGTGAACAAATATTCGTTAAGTTGATGTTCCATATGTTACGTATTAGAATTTCAAATAGTCTGAAAATGAGTTAACTGATAATTTTAATTTAATAGTTAGATTGTACTTTGGATTTAGTATTTAAATATATGCCAGTTTATGATATTTGCCAACAAGATTGATACAAACAGTTTTTCTTATACAAATATGTTTTAATATACAAACAACAATACAAGTTAAAATAACAGTTATTACAAATAATTATTATACACAATGATTTATAAACAAAAGTTTCACAAACTTACAAGCAATATAAAGTATTCTTTCTAGTCTGGAACCTCTTCGATATCTTATCGAGGGTTCACGATAAGCGAGTTGATTACGAGTTGACGTAGGTATAATTCACTTGACAGGAAGCTAGCTAGCTTTGTCCTTCGTTATTTACCAGCCACACACGCCGAGTTTTCCACCGTGACGTTATGTAATGTTTTCGTACAAATAATAATGTCCGATGAGAATCCACTGAAGTTAAATGCGTTGCAATGTTAAAACTTTGTAAATGCTCCTGGTTAAATATCTGAAGTTTTCCGATTGATAAGCGTTATAACAATCACAGTTATAGCTTCCGAAGTTTATAGCACACTGACTATAGCGAACTAATGATAGATACTCTTTTTTTTTAGCGAGTCGCGTTGGTTATAATTATAGGCGTGTGGGGGCTTTCTAGAAAATTCAGATTACGTAACAATACAAAGCTACATTTAAGTGTTTACGTACATACATATATTGTGGATTCTTATTCTCGAGAATCTTCTACAACTTTGGAATATAGGCGGGAGTTTCGCAATACATATTTAACAGTATAATCTATGTATGTTTCTAAGTATAAATTTAATCTAAACAAACGATGATATTAAAATAAATTTATAATAATAAATCCGGCACACATATCTTAAAAAAAATTTGTATTTTACTGAAAGACAGACACTTTTTTGTACGTAAATGAGAAGTACGGGATCTTGTGGTATTTAAATGAATACGGGATCTTGTGGTATTTAAATGAGTACGGGATCATGTGGTATTTAAATGAGTACGGAATCTTGCAGTATTTAAATGAGTACGAGATCTTGCAGTATTTAAATGAATACGGAATCTTGTGGTATGTAAATGAGTACGAGATATTGTGGTATGTAAATGAGTACGGGATCTTGTGGTATGTAAATGAGTACGGGATCTTGTGGTATTTAAATGAGTACGGGATCTTGTGGTATTTAATACTGCCGTAAACAAAACAGTTTTTCCTGAAATTTAAGGTCATCATCCCTGACTTGGTTGAAACCTTCGTGCACCTGTGCTCGCTTCTTTGCGCTGACGCAGTAGAAATGACCCTCCCCCCCAGTGGCACAGCGGGATGTCTGCGGAATTACAACACTAGAAATTTGGCTTCGATAACTTTGTAATGACGCAGCGGTAATATAGGGATTTAAAGATCATTCGTTTCTTTATCTGTATATATATATATATATACTAAAAATTAGATAGTTATATAGATAAACTGGTTTGGTTTGTTATGAATTTCGCGCAAACTACACAAGGGCTATCTAGTCATCACCACCCACCGCCAACTCTTGGCCTACTCTTTTACCAATGAATAGTGGGATTGACCGTCACATTATAACGCCCCCACGGCTGAAAGGGCGAGCATGTTTGGTGTGACTGGGACTCGAACCCGTGACCCGCAGATTACGAGTCGAACGCCCTAACCACCTGGCCATGCCGGGCCTAGATGAGCTGAAATCATCCACAGAAAATATTATTACCCCCCCCCCATCCTTTGGCACAGCGGTATGTCTGTAGACTTACAACGCTAGAAACCGGGTTTCGATACCACAGGGGGCTATCTGAATCGTAAAATCTAATGTATAAATTAATCTAGTTAATAATTTGTAATTAGAGCTTAATAAGTTCACGTCACGTACTAATAATAATGAGATATTAACATCTCTCCTATATTAGTCTATCTTGCGATTGACGCTTTAACATTATCTGTTAAACAGACTCATTTATTTCAAACAATAATAGCCCTAACTAAAAAAAAACACATTCTCGAAAATATCTGGTGATCTGATTAGTTTCCGACGTTGCTATCGGCGTTTGCATCAACGTACTATAAGATGAGTCAATTGTTAGCATTCTAAGTTAAATATTTGGAAACAAGAGGGAATCCTCATAGCTCATAGCTCTGTCATCTCTTGACCGATTTGAGATCTAATTACAGTTTTGGACTCAGGAGGTCAAAACCTTTCGATTGATGTATTTGACCACGCCAAATGTCTCATAGATTGATTTACTCTAATTCTGCCTAAAAGAATTTCAATTTGAGAATAGGCTGGTAGAGATCCTGGTGAGTATTAAAATTGAATCTGGTGTACGGGCTCCCCACGCTTGGTATTACTGGCGCACAAAATATAGCTAATGAAAAGAAAAGTAAAAAAAAAGTCTCATAAATTAATTTAATCCTGCCTAGAAGAATGTCAAGTGCCGCGGCTATTGAAGATTCTTTCTTGTTTTTATTTTGTTTGTAGTGTATTTGACACAACGATGTTATGAGTAGTAGCGATGCAGGAAAGAAACAATTGAGGGTGTATGTGTAATTTTGGAATTCGCTTGAAATATATATATATTTGTAATTCGTAGAAACAGGAACTTCAGGAACGGAAATAAACTCTTCCAGGAGTTGAATAGCCACAGAGTGGATAGATCCCCTGAAATATTTTATATTGTAACACTTCTTAGCAATTCGCTCATAAAGTTCTTTTATCCACAAGTGTACATATATTTTAATATTGAAAAATTTACTTATCCAGAAGAGAAAGGAGCAAATAATTCCATTAGAATAAGACGAGAAAAATAACTTCAGACCCCCTGGACATCAAAAAACGAAAACTGTTAACAAGGGATAAGTAATGTACCTTTAATTTTGAGTAGAATTTAATACTTCACGAGCGAAAGGTACAAATAAAATGCAAATTAGATATTATTAATAATAGTTTATTAGTGAAACTTTCAAAGTTTTTCCCTTATTTCGTTGGCGTGGGCTTATGTGACGTACTTATAAGATTGAAAGTAGTCCACACAGTAAGCTTTCGTTTGATAACACGTAATATGTTTTAGTATCGCTAGCAGGTTAAGGTGCTGAGATATTATCTCTGGTTGTAATCTCTTGTAATGGAGATCAGAAATCCGTTTGCAAACGTGGGAAATAGGTAGAGGTAGGCTCCTTAAAACTACTGTGTATGGGAATTAGCACTTAACTAGTTTAGATGCATTATCTCCGTGGCAGAATACCATTCACCAATTCGAAAGTCCATAAAATTTGTCAGTCCTACAGAAAAACTTATCTGTTTATATAACTATTGCTGGAGGAGAAATCTGATGTTTTTCTTCTTCTTTATTTCGTAGAATTATCTGAGGCAGCAAAATCTGGAGGGTGTTTTCATAGTGGCGGAATCGTTAGAACTAAATATGGACCAAAACAGCTTTCTGAGGTGAAGATTGGAGACGAGGTTTTAGCAGTTGACAGTGAAGCAAAGTTGGTATTTACGGAGGTTTTACTTTTTTTGGATCGTGACATCAATTCTCTTCGACAATTCTACACCATTGAAACAGAAAGAGGGGTTCGGATAACACTGACCAGAGATCATCTTATTTTCACATCCGCCGGCAATTCTTCTTCGTTTGAAATGAAAAATTTTAAAACAACTCTTGCAAGAAATGTACAAATAGGAGACCGTATTTATGTGTACTCTGACAGCCCTGTTTTCAAAACAGCAAATATACTTCTGCACTTAGAACGTGTGAAGACAATCAGTGTGAATGTTGATGTGGGGGTTGTTGCTCCCCTCACGCGCGAGGGAAATTTAATTGTAGATAACGTTGTTGCGTCCTGTTATGCACTTTTAAATGACCATTATTTAGCTCATTTGTCATTTGCTCCAATTAGGTTCGTTGAGAATGTGAAAGACTCCACACTTTACTTACTCCAAAGGCTTCACTTACCACATGCCAATTCGTCTCTTCAAAGAAAAGTCAACAATACTAGTGAGGGCATTCACTGGTATGCTAAATTTTTGCTCAGTTTTGCTTCTTACATTTTACCCAGAAGATACATTAGTCAATGAACTCCGAGCAGAAGTCTACTAAAAGCTATTTGTGTTAATTTATTATAACGTGCTCGTTCAGAAGTATCTAAAATGGCGCTTGGGAACCCCATTACAAGGTTCCTTGAGGAAACATAGGCTGTTTGTTCTAAGCAATAATCATTCATTGCCAAGTTTTAGTGTGTATTCACCCCAGAAAAAAGAGGCACGTGTTTTATTTATCGACTTATCTTTCCTCCTCCTCCCTCTTTTTTTTTTGTAATTAACTAAAATATATAATGACATTTTAGGTCACTTACACTTTTATATTGCTACATCTACAGTGTTCTATTCACGAAGAGACGCTTATTGTGTTAGCTCTATGTAATTCGGTGTAGAATTGCGATGAACCACAACAATAGCTTTTATTAATTACCTTCCAAGTGTTTACAATAAAGGCTACAAGTAACCATGATGACCATCAAAGTTGTCGTTTCCGAAACACGTGCTGAAATTTCACAAAAGAGGTTTTTTTCGGCTGATATTTTGTGAATATTAACTTTGTGTAATCAGTGATGTTTCAGAATAGTTTTTTGTAATATAGCTTAAATGTGTTTAATTGTGCCTTAATATATATATGAATACAAAAACTGTTTAACTTCTACTCTAAGTTACATAGACTTAACTGTTATGTTCCACGTCAAGCTGCATTTCGATATTTTGACAGTAACTGTTTGTCTTATACAAGTTGCTTACAGAAAGACCTTCGATGACACTAGAAGACAAAAAAAAATAGCTTAAAATTTATACACTTTTGTCCATCCTTTTGATTTTGATTGAGTGTTATGTTTCGATTATGCGAAAAATACTCACCGACCCCATAGTTTAATTTATGCATTAATAAAAAATTATATTTGTTACAGGGGCATAATCTACATCTTTTTAAACAGAAAATATTAGATTCTGAGAATAATCTGGAGATGTACAGAAAATCACGTCAACCCCGTCATTTAAATACGTGATTGTACATAAAAAGCAATAAGTTTAAGATTATTCCAATTTGTCTGTGTGTGTAAAAACAAAATTACAAAACCCCCATAATCCGTGCGGTTTGGGAACAGCAATGAGTATATTACACACACACATATATTTGTATTTTGGACGTGTGCTGCCATCTGCTGCCATGAAAATTACCAATTAACAAACAAAAATAATTTCATTCCACGAATATTAAAAACGTTTCAGAAACTTTCAAGAAGAATATACCGTATTTTTCGGAATATAAGATGCACCCTTATTTTGAAAACAAAGTTTTGGGGAAAAAAGCTACAGTCGCATTTGAAAGATTTTTATTGAACAAAAAATTCAATTT